ATTTTTATATTCAGTAATATTCTTCAAAATGAGATACTAGTAATGCGTTACTGCTGTGGATATTCCAAATTATAGCAATCAAAGCGTCTCAGCTGGAAAAACGCTGTGCCACCAAAGCGTCCTCCAGGACCACCAACTGGCCACCTTTGGTGGACACACGTTATTGAATATTTATTGTTAGGCATATGGCCTATTAGTCTTTTTTAAATTTATGCAATATACTGGAGCCAAATCTGAAAAAGTACACCAGAATATTCCACTGCGTTCCTGGACACGCAATTTGCGTAGCTGTAATTCATAGGCGGGGTTTATGGTAATTGTGAATGAGCGTGCACGAGCGCCCTATTTACTGTACGAATGATTGGAATTCATTAACATACAAGTTTAACTATCAAATCGGAAGTTTACGAAGCGTTTGTGAATCCGGAGGAGAGTTTTCGGGAAGGTCCGTTTTACGCGCAAATTACTCAGAATTTACTCCTATATTTACACATTTTTTCATGAATGAGGCCCATTATGTGGCAGTGGGTGACAGTCTATTATGACACTATTATTGGGTTCGCATAGATCCATGCAGAGTGTAATGCCCTCTTGTTTCTTTTGAGTTACTACTATGGGTGATACCCAAGGCTATGCATCAATCTTTTCAATAACTCCAGCTTGCAGCAGCCACTAAAGTTCACTGGACACCTAATCTTGTACACACAATTGGATGTGTCTAAGCTGCACCGGTAGAACATCAGGATTCACTTGCAATACGTGAACAAATCCATTCACACATCAGATTGTTACAAGTGATTCTATCTCCATTTTGCACACTGATGTAGGTGGTATGCAGGGCTGTCCCATGCCGGGGGTGGGGTTTTGGACCAGTGTGAGGGGAGGGGAGGGGTCCTCTTCGTTTTTTTTAGCCTCACAAGATCCAGGAGGCACGGTTGGATCCAGATCCAACTCCTCCCACCTTACTTACACCTAAACCTACCCGTCTCCACCCCCTAATCCCTAAACCTACGCATCTCCACCCCTAAACCTACCAATCTCCACCCCCTAGATGTGATCCAACCACGCCGCCTGGATCTTGTGTTCTGCAGTGAGGGGCTACTGGGGGCCGGTGCAGCTGCAACAGTTGCACCTCCCTAAGGATGGCCCTGATGGTATGGTACCCACTGTTCTGCCATCTAACTTAATTCAAGGCTTTAATCAAGTCCATGCCTAATAGAGCTGAACCTGCCTGAATGATGTAGAATGTAGCTAAAGTGGTCACATCTCCTAGCCTCACAGAAGCAGACATTCAATTCAATTCAATTTGAATTGAATTAAAGTGGTCACATCTCCTAGCATCACAGAAGCAGACATGGAACCTAACACTAGAATGTTGTCTTTTAAATAGGTAATTAGACAAGCTTTTGGTACAGTTGTTTTGGCAAAACAGACACAGACAATCTGGTGTCCACTATTAATTCAACATACTTTGTATTTCCAAGTGGTGCTTCTATCTAGACTTTACAACAAATCTTGTCAGACATACATCACAGGCCATCCTTAGGGGGGTGCAACTGGTGCGGTCGCACCGGGCCCCGCGGTGAATGGGCCGAATGGGCCCCCTCCCGGAACGTGATCGCAAACGGACCGAGGGGGGCCCCGCTCCCTACCACGCACCGGGCCCCGCGTCAGCTAAGGACCGCCCTGCATATATCAGATAGTAAACTTAGGAACCACAAGTTCACATTCCTATTTTAGTCATGGATTTGTAAACTTTTGCAAAGTCTCCCATTTTCTCCAAATAAATAACAGGTCACAGATGCAACAGGACAATTTTTGCATATTCAAGATGGTATTGTGAACCACACCTAATGCATGACTGGTGGAGGCTTTCTTGGTTGTTTTACAGAGTGAAATTTCTGCTGAATTGGGCCTGTGGATTTTTGCAAAGCTTGTTTTTGTATTACCTTAGAGTTCCCCCTATACTGGACACAATCAGTATATTCCCTCAGGGGGTTTTCTGTCATTCACATCAACAGAACTGGGTGATCATTTCCAAATGAACCCCCCTTGCCTCTGAAATTCATCAAATTTGTAGTGCCTCACATAAGCACATCTAATAGTTGTCCAATCCAAATCCATGCAAAAACAAACAAATAAAATAAATAAATAAATAAAAGTGTGTATGCCTTTCTGGTATACTCTTTTATTGATTCATGGCTGTCCGCTTAGTTGAAATGAAGAACAAAACCAGAAATACAGGAAAAGAACTCCTTTATCAGAGGAAATAGTATGCTTCTCATCATGATTCACATGAGACATTAATTCATGAAGCTTATGTCGTCAACTTATTTTGCAGTCATAGAAGATGTCTAGTCGAGTCTGTGGCAACACCATTTTCTTTATTCAGAGTACGATGTGTCAACATCCAGCATGACAAATATTGTACAAATTTCACAATTTAAAAATGAAAAATCACTGTAACTTGTGATCTCACACATTTATAGTAAAATTAAAACAAATTCATGCTGTATCGTACAAAAATAAATCAAACTCCAGTTCCACAGAGAGCACGATAGTTTATACAAAATCCTGTCTTCATTGATGATTAAACAAATCAACCTCGAAATGAAGAATTTCAACTCATGAATTCACAATAATTCATATGAAAAATCAGCATTCGAATATGTGACTCCTTTCATCTTACGCCGAGTCATTAGTCACATATATGTTTTTAAAAAAAGTATTATGCACCGACAGTAAATGAGCAGCATGTTTGTGCTTAAATTCCCATTTCCATTGTACCGATGACGATAATCGAGTCAAAAACTGATACTAGCTATTTCTCTATTGAAAGCATTACTATATTGGCAAAAAGCTGCAGATGTGTTGCTGTGCATGAATGATGGAGCCCTAAAAAGGACTGATTAGTACAATGGACGAGATCCAGTGAAGTACAAGCACCTTTGCATTAGCTCTCAATAAAGTATTAACAAGGTTGCTACAGCTAATAGTACAATGGAAATTAGGGGTTCACGTAATGCCGCAACACCCCCGAACTCTACCGCTGACAACTGAACCCATTGCAGTGGGAGAATTTCTTTTCTTAAAACGCTTTATTTCGATTGACTACTCTTTAATGATTTTGTACAGTGATTAGACATAAAGTGCTGCTGGGGATTATTTTGTATGATATAGAACATACTCACCGAACTAGCATTGCTATTTAAAAATGCACAATATTTCTCGTAAAGATATTGTCCTCATTAATATTTCAAATCCCTGTAATCTCTGATCTCCTCAAACCGCTGAACGTCTGTCATCATGTCTTCCTCGTGCCAAAGAGACACCTGGCGATTGCACATCGACCGAAGGTGGGATAAGTGCAAATAGTCTTCTGGCACAAAAGTGGGGGGGGGCAAAAACCCTGTAGGTCCCGTTTTCATTGTCTATATTCTTTACAGATACCTTCTGCTTTAGTTTCCATACTGTACACACATCCAAGCATGGAAACAAATGTGTCCCTGCGCAGCACAGTATACAGGAACAAAATGAAACTCATAGAGCATTGTACGTCTCTAAACCTAATTTTCACCTTTCCGTGCCTTTAAAACATTTGTATTAAAAGATTTATATAAAAATCAATCATTTACATATAGCAAAAAGATTTTGTAGCTTCCACTGTTTACAAACATGAAATTGCATATACCCACCACATAGATTGCATCTCTTTTTTATACACATGGTTAAGTCAAATATTGCTGAGACAGTTCCATTCTGGCTACTGTTATTTCTAGAAGAGACCAAATCACGACGTGAGGTTTAGAGCCGCTATTGCTGTTACATTGATGCAGATTAAATGAGGAAGCCACTAATAATCAAAGCATTTCCTTTTGCATTTTGAAGCAGTATCAGGTTCTCCACCATAAGCTTTCATTTCTATGATCTATGATGATTTTTTACATCAACCCTTTTTTCCACATCATTGATAGTTGATATTAAAGTAATTCATCACCATCACCAACATTTGCTGAAAATGTACGGACCTTTAAGCCTTCCAAGATGTTAGATGAGCTTGTTTGTTAACCTGAACAGATTTGGAGAAATGTGTCATTTCATCACTCTCTCAGCAATGGATGCGCTGCAGTGAATAGGTGCCATCAGAATGAGAGTCCAAACAGCTGATAAAGACATCACAATAATCCACAAATTATCCATATCACTCCATCTTGTGAAGCAAAAAGATCCATGTTTTTAGGAAAAGTGCCTCTCCTTTTGATGTCTCGCATCTAAATCCACCCACATATTTGTTCAGAACTGTGGGTTTAGAATTATGACTTCTATGGCTTGTAAATGGTGCTTGAGCTCTGCATATTTCTCTCATGATTCAGACAAGCTGACTTTTTCTTACAAACACGCAGACTTTAGCTTCACTAGATGTTAACGGATGGACTGGTGTGGATTACTTGTGGATTGTGATGTTTTTATCAGGACTCTTATTCTGACGGCACCCATTCACTGCAGAGCATCCATTGGTGAGCAAGTGATGTAATGCTGCATTTCTCCAAATCTGACGAAGAAATAAACTCAACTACATCTTGGATGTCTGAGGATGAGTACATTTTCAGCAAATGTTCATTTTTGGGGATGATAAAAAGAAACTCTTGCCATTTCATTAATCTTTTCACATCTTTAAGATGAGCAGAAATGTTTAGTGGCTACCTTTTTCCAGTTTGTGACACTCTTTCAGCAAGCATCGACTAATGTTCAGTATTGGGTGCATTACTGTTTAAAAATATACACTAAAAAGGTGCTTCAATGAGCAGCCAGAAGGATGAGTCACATTACATTAGCCAATATGAAAGCGTACAAAATGTGAATACTTTCAAAAACTATTTTGCAGATCATAATTTTTTTTTAAAGCAAGGCCAGAAAAATAAACCCAAAGAAAAATCATGTTTAGTCAGCATAACACTTTTTAAAAGAACATGAATTAACACTGTTTGATCAACTACAACAGCAAAGCAGGAGGCATCCCATATGAGTATTATAATGTTTTTTTTTCTGGAAGTGTCTTCTTTCCTCAGTATTCCTTTGTTTTAGGAACGTTCTGAGATGCTAGACTTGAATGCCTTGTACCGCTTGTTTTATATTTTCTAGCAGGGCCTTGTTCTCTGGACTCTGATAGTGATCTTGATTGGTGTACATGTCCGTTAGCGTGGTCACGTATGCGTCAAAGTTCTGTTCGCTAATCGGCTCCTGTAATACACAGAGGAAAGATCCTGTCACATAAAATACAGTATGTGGAAGATGATGACAAAACAAGAGTCTGGGTAATACAACTCTGAGAATTAAGTCATAAATTCGAATTCTAATTATGTCATAAGTTCTTCAATTTATTGTTATTCCTGTATACAATTCACAGGATGCAAAATTGTAGTAAGAATTCAAATGGATTGAAATTCAAAGAAATGAATGTGACAGTAAATTAAGTTTACTGTCAGTATAAATGGCCAAAAACATATGGGCTATTTTTACAGACACATTCAACGATAACAATCAAGTTAGTTTTCATAATTCACACTGTTTTAAAGCAGCATTATGGAATCAATATCAAAAGAATTAAAAGAAAATGGCACATATTGAATAATAGCATAATTTGTCAAAACTATGATGCAAATGTTTTTGTCATAAAACTTTTTTGTGACTTTAATTTCAAATGTAACATTTTCATTGCAATTCAAAATCCGCTGTGTGGATTTAATTCGATTCAAACTGACAGTTGTGAACTGAAAGGAAGCCAGCTCTTAAATGACAAATTTTGCAAATCCTGATATGAGTTCTGGAGCTTCAAACAACTTGTTGCAGCCACAATAAAACTTTCATTAAAAGAAACACAATGTAAACCTCAACACAGGTAAACATCATGTATTCAATTCAGTCTAAATGGAAATTGCTGGATTTGGTAGCATTCACTAATGGGAAAAATATGTGAAGGACTAAAGCTGACTGAATGGTTATTAAAAACTGATTCAGTGAATAAGCTTTCCATTGATGTGTGGTTTGTTAGGATAGGACAATATTTGGTCGAGATACAACTATTTGAATATCTGGAATCTGAGCGTGCAAAAAAAATAAAAAATTGAAATATTGAGAAAATCATCTTTAAAGTTGTCCAAATGAAGTTCTTAGCAATGCATATTACTAATCAAAAATTAAGTTTTGATATATTTACGGTAGGACATTTACAAAATATCTTCATGGAACATGATCTTTACTTAATATCCTAATGATTTTTGGCATAAAAGAAAAATGTATCATTTTGAACCATACAATGTATTTTTAGCTATTGCTACAAATATACCCCAGCGACTTAACACTGCTTTTGTGCTCCAGGGTCACAAAACACCAACTGCGCTCAGCCACTTGAAAATTGACTGACATAAATAATATAGTATTCACAGCATACAAATAGTCATATGGAAAGGGTAGGAGTTAAACATGTGGTCTTACTCTCTGATGTAAACAGCTGTTATGTCTAGCTGGAGCCTCTTTGTGAAGTGATTTCTAGAGGTAAAAACAAAAGTGTATTAGCTTAAAGCAAATAACATGCTCAGTACATACAGGACCTGGCCACTTCTGTCTAAACACCTAAGACACATCTGGAACAGCTTTTTGTTTTGTTTTAGATGTTGCAATGAATAATGTGATGCTATATGATGAAATCTACTAGTTAAAGCAGCAAGTAGACAGTTTTGCATTGACATTTTGTATGTAAAAAGGATAAGCTACTGATTATTCTTATTTGATAAAAGTGGCACAAGTTCAGTGAATTCACCCTTCAATCATACACAAATGGTTAACTATTCAAGTTATAAGCATATACATTTACAACCTATTTTAACCAGGTTGAAAATATTATTTACAATTAAATGGAAATGTATAGTTTCATGTTTAAGTTATCTTAAACATGCTTTTTGACCAACTCAACTATGAAGTTCATATTTTATGTCATTTCATAATCATTTCTATTGTCTTGTGCAATTAATTTACACTTAAATTATATTAACTTGAAATGTAATATTTATTAACAAACTAGTTTAAATTATAATCAAATACTTGTGCTTTAGTATGTTAGTCAAAGTAAGTGTACTTTAAATCATGGCAAAAGATGATTAAATATAATTATTTAAAATATGCTTTAAATGACTTAAAATACATAATCTTCAATTTGACATTGTTAAGTCATGAAGACTTTATTTTAAGGTGTCCTTGTTACAGTGTAATTATACATTTAAGTACTGAGTAATATTAATTAACTACATGTACTCACGGTATGGATAGGGTTACTTGCATGCAATTATGTATAATTAAGTGTTATTATAATAGTAAGTACATGTAACTTGTAACAAGGACACATTAAAATAAAGTGTCACCTTGTATTTCTTTAAGTGCACTTAAGTGGCCTTTTATTTCATTAATATTATATTACTTGCAAGTACAGTTTTTTAAATTGAATTTTAAGATCTGAAGCACACTACAAGTGCACATTCAATATAATTAAGTACACATCATTTTTCACAAGGGATTTAGGTGGGAAAATGTGACTTCTTTAAGTTCAGCAGTAAACTTTGCAAATTAAGTGGAAATCGAAAAAAGAGAGAAAAAAGTCACAAATGGCACTGTTTCCTGAGAATAAGCTTCATCTAAATCTTTTAAGAAACAACCAATCAGCATTGTCGAAGAAACTGAACACAAAATGAGTGAGCCATGCAGTTTAAAACCCTATAAACAATAATCAACGCTGTGTGATTAATGCAATAGACATAAAATAATATGTAATATCAAATATTACCACAAACTCAGCAGAGCTGACTATATCAGTTCAGTGGTTTGTCACTGAGTTTGACAAAATATGACAATCGGTGAGCAAGCTATGGAGATTCAAATAAGATTATGACTGAAATTTTTATTTCATAAAAAAATGAAAATAAACTGTATTTATTTACCAAGTTGAGATGAGATGATTGAAAGTTTTGATCAGAATGTATACGCTTCTAAATCTGCGGGACTGATTTGAAGAACATGTTTTCAAGCTAACTCGTTGCTGAGTAAAACATCTTAAAACCAGCCTGACCGGGAGACCTGCTAAGACCAGCAAAGCATCTTAGGCTGGTTTATGCAGTTTGTTTAGTAAGCAGAGCTGGTCAAATTGAACAACCATTCAATAAATGGTTCAAAAAAATTCAGATTACACCAACTGACTCCTACAATTTTCCAGCTATGGACTAGTTTGAAGCACAGACTATTATGCTAAATTTGCTGAATGTACCAAGAACAGCGGCCTCAAGCCGAATAAAGTGAACAGAATAAAGTAATATGCTTCTTTGTCCACGACTTGTCCTCTATCGGTTGGGGATGGTGTCCCTTACCATATGAGGTAGCTGGATATTAGCTAAACTGTTTATCAGTGAATGGCTGAGGCTGGCCAGCTCATGCAGGAGAGATTCATTTTGTTGTTCAATCACCTTGTTTTCTTCCTCTAAGGACTTCAGATTAGACTCCATTGTGGTAATCTGTGGGACATGAATCGGCAGATGTGTTAAATCTATTGTGATAACGTCTTCATAGCATAGCACAATAAATTATTATCTTGTTTGTTTTAAGTAAGACTGCAGTAAGTATATTGTGGGTAGGGGTGCTCCGATTGATCGGCTACCGATCGCTATCGGCCGATAATCGCTTTGGGATGATTACTCAGCGGTCTCTAAAAAGGCTGATCTCAAAAAAATGATCTCAAGCTGATGAGAGGTTCGGCACGACACGCGGCACCATCTCAGTCTCTGTCCGGCGCGGGTGAAATAATTGTAATGCTGAAGGTGAGGTACAGTTCATATTTCTTCATTAAATAACTTATAAAGTAGCTAATTTGAAAACTTTCTGAGAGACACAATTTCACAAACAGCGTGAGTAAATCACCGTGTGCGCTTTCTCTTTCTCTCAAAATGCGCAAAGGGCTTCAAATCAAATCATGTTGTAAGCGAGCTGCACACTGCACAGTTGACACAGGAATTGGTTTGGGATTACTCACCGCTGACTGGACGAGACATCTGTCAATCAACGTATACAGAGAAGAACCAGCCGAAGAACAGCAGAGTCCTGGTAGAAAGTTCAGAGATGGTATTAAAGTAGCTCAGTTTAAATGTATTGTACGAATTGCCCTTACTATGGAATAAAAAATACGGAGTGTATATTTAGGTTTAGTTAAAAGTGGCTATAAAACATCAGCTCTAGTGGTGCAGCTGGATAAGCGCTCAAAATTCTATTTACACTAAGTGCAAATACCTAGTTACACTATGTCAAGTATACTACTTGTTGCAAATAGTGGCAATTATCTGCACTTCAGTATTGTAGTACATTATAAAACAGTATGCAATAATAACTTATTGAGTGTGAGTGTAAATTATAATTTAAATTATTAAATGGATGCCACCTTATTTGTACAATAAAGCCCTACCTACACCTAACCTAACCCTAACCGATACTTTATTTTAAACTTTTTGATTATTTCCTTAATTTTTATTGAAAATAAATGCCTTTACGATGTAATACGAGATTTGAAAAGGGAGGAAATAAAATCTCTGCAAAAGGCGGGATCGAACCAGGGTCGATCGCGTCAAAAAGCCAAGGGCACACACTTATCCATCTGCACCACTGGAACTGATGTTTTTCAGCCACTTTTAACTAAATCTAAATAGACACCCCGTATTTTTCATTCCATAGTAAGGGCAATTCATACAATACATTTAAACTGAGCTACTTTAATACCATCTCCGAACTTTCTACCAGGACTCTGCTGTTCTTCGGCTGGTTCTTCTCTGTATACGTTGATTGACAGATGTCTCGTCCAGTCAGCGGTGAGTAATCCCAAACCAATGGCGCTGTCTCAAACTATACCTACCTCTTCCGGTTTGTCTGATTTGTCGTTGTGTTTTCTGACTTGTTATTTTGTTTTCGAATTTGTCATTGTGTTTTCTGACTTGTTATAATGTTTTCTGAATTGTTGTTGTGCTTTCTGAATTGTTATTTTGTTTTTTAGACTTGCATTTGTAATTTGTTATTTTGTTTTCAGAATTGTGATTTGTTCTGCACTTCTCGGCCACCGTAACGTAGTCTAATAAGTACACAACATTGTCTATGCTTGTAAAACAACTTACAAGACTAAGCCATCCAGGAAATGGACGTGAGCGTTTGAACATACTCTAGGCCTCAAAACTAGACACACTAACCTCAAGAATGGTGACAACCAACAAATGTTAAAAAGATGAGCTCTTTACATCACAATACAACAAATAACTAACAATAATGATAAAACAACAACACAATTTTTTAAATGAAGACCGCAAACAGCAAAACAGGAGTCCAGCCCGGAGTCGTCACATGTCCTTCCGGACGCTCCTTCGTCGAAATCGCCGGCCACGCCGTTCTCAAGCCCACTCGCCTCCGCTCACTCTAACCCTCCCTCCGTTCCTCACTTTATCCCCCGGCCTCTGCTCACTCTAGGCCGTCGTGTGTGACGCTGTGTTTCGTTGTGAAAAGCGAAAACTACTTTGTTTGGTCTTCCAAAAATGGTGGTTAAGTTGCATTTATAACACTGTTCCAGAACACTTCAACCCAAATATTCAGATGTGTGCAGCACATTTTATGGAGGACTGTTTCCTGATCCTGGGAGAGTAGACTACAATGCCGGCTGTTCTGACTCACAGACTGTAAGTAGGTTTTTTATATTTAAAGAGTTTTTATATTTGATATATTTAAAGCAAATTTTTTGGGCAGTGTAGAGTAGGGCTTGTTGTTTGTCATTTCTCCGATCGTAAATGCAGACATGGTTTTATGTTTATGCAGCGCGATGCAACGCAACGTGTAAAAAGACAGTGTAAGTCATTATAATCCTTAATTAATAATGGGTTTTAATGTTTTTGTTTCATCGCTCCGGCCTGACAGGGCATCATCACAGTATGGTGAGGGGCATAACATTTCCGTCACACTCTTGAGGTATTCGGCCAATCACAACGCACTGGATAGCTGGCCAATCACAGCACACCTCGCTTTTCAGACCGATGAGTTTTGTAAAAATTGATGCATTTCAGAAAGGCGGGGCATAGAGGAGAAACAATAATGTACAGTATGTGGAAAATAATGTGTTTTTTTAACCTTAAACCGCATAAATACATTTCATTACACCAAATACACCAAATAATGTTCTTTTTAGCAACATCATATGACCCCTTTAATGTAGTTTCAAGAAAATAGAAAAAAAATGTTAGTATTGGAGACTCAAAAGGTTTCGTAAACTGGAAGATATGCAATTGTATTTTTTACAGTGTAGTTTAAATGTTTTGCCACTTGCTTGAGCAACTTAATATATCAACCTAGAAGTAAATGCAAAAGTAAAAAGCATTGAATAATGTGTTTCTTATATTTATTGTTTAAACACGTCTATGAAAGATTGAATTACTGTACTGTGTAAAAAAAAGAATCAAAATGCTGAAAAAGCATTTTAAGTAACGATGTTTGGATTTGAAATCAAAATAATGGATACATGTTGTGTTTGTAGTAAACAGCCGCGGATCAGTTGCAGACTCCCAATGGTAAGTTTGTGATATAGTAAAAAAAGTAGTTTAAATGTTTTGCCACTTGCTTGAGCAACTTAATATATAAATCTAGAAGTAAATGCAAAAGTAAAAAGCATTGAATAATGTGTTTCTTATATTTATTGTTTAAACACGTCTATGAAAGATTGAATTACTGTACTGTGTAAAAAAAAGAATCAAAATGCTGAAAAAGCATTTTAAGTAACGATGTTTGGATTTGAAATCAAAATAATGGATACATGTTGTGTTTGTAGTAAACAGCCGCGGATCAGTTGCAGACTCCTGTGTGAAAGCACAGTGAGCACCTGCTGCTTCTACACATGGACTGCATACACACTGCAAACGGAGTAGGCCTATGTGTGAACCTGGTGTAAAAGGCCGCCTCACATATTCAATATTCATCGTTGCAAAGCAACTTTACAGCAAATTACAGCTTTACAGCTCACGAAATCAGGCTTGTGCTGTGTGTAAGCTATTGTGCAACAATTGCACAATTGTAAAAACAAAAATGCACTGCATGATCAAACATTTAGGTGAGATAAATATATATTTTTGAAAAATGTAAAAAAAAAAAGCCCCCCTCCACCCCTCAAATAAAAAAATCCCCTCTCACAAGAGTCACCTAAAAGGGGAATTCATTTTCAAAAATGAAATTCAGGCCCTGAATAAATGTCTAAAATTCCTGATTAGAGTCTTACTATAATAATTCTACATGATAAAAAGAAGGCTTTAAAAAGATCGGTATCGGTGTTCGTATCGGCAGATACTGCTTTCTGTGATCAGTGAACGGCCTCAAAAATCCTGATCGGAGCACCTCTAATTGTGGTGCTGAAATGCTTGAAATTAAATGATTTATTAAATGATTAATGGGAAGAAATGTCTCACTCAGTTCACTATCACACAAATGCTGCATTTATACGGCAAGACCTAATGTACTGTTTTTATTTATTTATTTTATCTTTACATTAGTATTCAAATATACACTAGTGTTCAAAAGTTTTTGGTCAGTAATGCTTTTAAAAGAAGACTCCTATGTTCACTAATGTTGCATTTATTTGATGAAAAAAATACAGTAAAACGTCTCAGGTTACGTATGTAACCCTAGTTCCTCGAGGGAACGAGACGCTGCGTCGAGAACACTAGGGGAACGCCTTCAGTGACCCACGCTCTGAATCACATGTGAAATCAGTCCAATAGCTGAGCGGTACGTCACGGCGGATGACGTCATGAACGGGAAGCTATAAAAGCACGTGCGGCGGAGCCAGCGTCAGCTTCTAGGAATGAAGCAAGCGCCGGCAGGGACGCCGGAAGTATGGCACCGAGACGCAGCGTCTCGTTCCCTCGAGGAACTAGGGTTACATACGTAACCTGAGACGTTTTACTGTATTTTTTTCATCAAATAAATGCAACATTAGTGAACATAGGAGTCTTCTTTTAAAAGCATTACTGACCAAAAACTTTTGAACACTAGTGTATATTTGAATACTAATGTAAAGATAAAATAAATAAATAAAAACAGTACATTAGGTCTTGCCGTATAAATGCAGCATTTGTGTGATAGTGAACTGAGTGAGACATTTCTTCCCATTAATCATTTAATAAATCATTTAATTTCAAGCATTTCAGCACCACAATTAGAGGTGCTCCGATCAGGATTTTTGAGGCCGTTCACTGATCACAGAAAGCAGTATCTGCCGATACGAACACCGATACCGATCTTTTTAAAGCCTTCTTTTTATCATGTAGAATTATTATAGTAAGACTCTAATCAGGAATTTTAGACATTTATTCAGGGCCTGAATTTCATTTTTGAAAATGAATTCCCCTTTTAGGTGACTCTTGTGAGAGGGGATTTTTTTATTTGAGGGGTGGAGGGGGGCTTTTTTTTTTTACATTTTTCAAAAATATATATTTATCTCAC